TTATTTATTGATATTTTCTCCAAACGGTGGAGATACATTCATCAGTCAGTTCAGGCAGAAGATGAAGCTGTCCGCAGTTGTGTGGGTATATATGCGTGTAATAATATTTCAGTGCACTGACTTAGGCATAAAGGATTCCTTTGGAGTTTAAAACCAAGTATCTTTTTAGCAAATATTTTTAGTATGATACCATATTTAATTTTAAATAACTGAGCTTATCTTGTGAGATGTTATTTAGCTGGCTAACAAATTTTGAACTAAGAAATGAGAGTTACATTTTAGGGGCCTTTCATGTGACACAGAATAAATGAGGATTTTAAAATTCTTCTTTAGTAAACAGCTAGGGGATCTGTCTTACCCTATAGTGATATGAGAATGAAAAACTACATGAAAAAAGATTGCACTAGGAAACAGAAGTACCTCTTGATTGAACAATAGTCTTATGATTTGAAAACAAAGTGAGCAAAACCACTTACTACTGGCTGGCAAAAAACAAAAGATGTAATTTGATTAAACTACTGCTTACATAAAACGGAAAGACCTATCTGCACAGAGATCTAAGTGAAGGGCTATTTTCTTTCAAAGGTCAACTTAAGACCCTCTGCATAATGATCATTCTTACTTTACTATACATCGTACCTTGTTTTTAAAAAAATTAAATTGGTAAGCCCAGTTCAAGCCTGTTTTCATTTAATGCTGAGGTTGTAGTAAAATGAACTACTTGCGTCTAGGTCCTTTGTTATGAAGGATTTTCTTTCAATGCCTACTAGAGGAATGGCTTAGCTGTCTAAGTATCAGCTTTAAAATATCTGGACTCCCAGCCAGGAACCATAGGTTGAATTCTCAGGAGGGATGGGGAGCCCCTTAATTATTCTGAAATAGATGGGGTGGCAGACCACTTCCTACACAAGTGTCTTTCTACAAAATCTTAAAAGCCAATACTCTGTGGACATTAAAAATTCAATAATATTTTTCCTTTTATTTGGAGAAATACTAGTTTGGTCTATGATCTCAGAAACCCAAGAATATGTTCTTTCCTTTCCATATCCTTGCATTTTCTCAGCATGCTGTATCCTAGGCTATTTATGGACAATAATATTTATTTGCTTAAAGATTAACCTTTGAATTTGGCTGAGCTAATATAAGGATTAACCTGCAGAGAACGACACGTCGACGTCCCTGAGAGGGCCCTTTTTAATCTGCTTTTGATTGACAGGGTCTTTTAGTTCTCCTCAGAGTTTTATTTTAACATTATATTCATCCAAAGCATTTCTTCGAAGTCCTTTGTTGTCGATTATGTTGTTCTGTTCTGGGACGAAGCTCTCTTTTCACCCATTGTTTTCTGGAAGTTTAAATGCAACAGCAGAATGAGAGATTTTCATTACAAGCTTTTGAAAGGTGAAGCAATCTCTTAACATAAGAAACTCGAAATCTCAGTGCACTGAGAGGTTTGCATGGCAAGTCGACAAAGTGCCCAAACTGTACAAGCTCACCACGTGCACAGACTTATTAAAGATGAAATCTTCAAAATTGTCTAAATAAACAACTTAGAGGGCTTTGCTCTCTGTTCAATAGAATAGTCGTTATGAAATCTACGCCTTTTAAAGGGATGTCCTCAGATTCTCCATAGTTGATAAGGAAGGAATGATCTCTAAAGGAGTCCAGAGGAGCAGCTGGTCCTTGTGGGCCTACCTTTTGTCCCTTGGGACTCACTTTTCATCACCGACTCAGGAGAATCATAGGTTCACCCTGTTGAGCGAGCCAAGGCCTTCCCTGGCTGTGGTGGTAGTGAGGAATCGGAGGGATCCCAATAAAAAAGGAGAATCTAGTGATGGAAATCAACGCCACAAAGCTTCTCCTCCTGGGTTGGATCAAATTTGACTGTTTGTTTGTTTATTTGTTTGTTTGTTTTTTAAGTTTGAGAACCTGGTTTCTGAGATCATTATTCAGGGGATTAAGAAAATTAGAAGACAGGTTTAGAAAATGACCTTGGGGAAGTTATTTAAATTTCCCGTGCCTTAGTTTTCCCGTGAGCAAATGCAATTATTAAGGCCTGGGTCCTTCTAGTCACAAAGGAATGAATGTTATAACTAGAAATGATTTTAAGGTTTTATATGGGAAACGCATGTGCAAAATAATATTCATTTATTAAAGTGCAAGAAAATATACTGCTAACCACACTAAAGATAAATATGCACAGTTGCTATTATTCGGTTCTTTTTATAAAAATATAACGATCAACCATGTTTTTGATGATAAGAACTCTAAGGGGCAATCGGTTTCTAGGTATCGACATTCGGTTATAAGCCAGGAGATGCTTCAAGGAAGATAAGAGACTTGCAGTTTGGCATCTCAAAAATTTCCAAACCGCAGCTTGTTTCCTTTCCCTTTTTATGAATGGCAGTAGTATTATGCTTCCGTCTGCATTTTCTACCAGAGCCATTCATAAAAATAAAAACAAAACAAAATAACAACAACAAAAAACTTTCCCGGCACAGTCTGGAGCCATTGGGTGCCAGAGGCTGGGAAAACATCCTGGCAGCCATAACCCCAACCAGCATTGAAAGTATTCAAGGGTCTGTTTGTTTGGTGGTCTGAAAAGTATGAAGTGCTGTGTGGAAGGGAGGGCAGCTGGTAGAAGTTCTGTGACACGGACTAGGCAGGGAGCCAGGGCTGGCAGAGTTTCAGACATTGTCTTTCCCCTCATTGAAGTGTCAGGACCTAATTCATGGAAAATTGGGTGAGCTGGCAGCCCTTTCAGAGGATTTCATTGAGCCCTGCAGTGTGCAGGAGTCACATGAATGCAGGATCCTCAGCCAAAAAAGGAGAGAGACTTCTGAGCAGGAGGAACCAGTCAGCCTGCAAGAATGTGTGCAGATTTGAAACGGTTTGGGAGTAAACATGTGTACAGGTGTAATCGGCAGGAAAAAAGAGAAGGAAGAAAAGTGGCCTGTTCTTACAAATGACTCTTTTGAAATGAACACAACACTTCTTAGCGCTTTTGGATCCTAAAAGGCAAGAAGTCCTAATTGTCTTTGGTTCAATTCCACCTGGAGAACACGTCATCTCAAAACCTGGGCTTTAATGATGTCATCTCCACTGTGATTTAAAGTCAAAGGGAAGAACTTTTTTTCAGTGAGCAGCAGTATTTTGCCATTTCTAAATTTTTATTTTATTCATCTAAAAGAAAAGCTCTGATGATTTTTATATGCTTAATACAGCAGCAGTAAAACATCACACCATCACAGAAATTCTGAAGATGAAGAAAAATGAATGGGACCTCCTCTACCCCTCCATGATACAGTGAATTTATTCTAACTTCTGTTATTTGGGAGAATTTTGGCAATTTTATTTTTTTATTTAAACCATGAAAGTATGTCACTGTCCACATCAAAGTGGCTTAGTTGTATTCGCAAATCTCAATGATGTGTAAATAGAATAAGTAAGACTTATTATATCCAGACATGAGACTAAGTACTGGAAGTAATCCATCAAAAAGCTTGGGCTTCAGATCCACCTTTTACAATACAAAGAATAACTTAAATATTTTTCTAATACTCTAATTCTTGGGAAATTAATTTAAGCTGGGTAGAAAATTTCCTTCAGATGTTTCACTCACATGTGGAGAGTTTTGCCCTGCATACACAATTAAATAAATAGAGTAATAGATAGATATGAACAACAATTAAATAGATAGAGATAAAGATAAATAGTATTGGTAGAGATAGTATCTGCAAATGATACTACCAAGAAAGTGAACAAATTCACCCACATAATGAAAGAAAATATTTGCAAATCACATTCTGATAAGGGACTTGTATCCAGAACATATAAAGGACTCTCACAATTCAATAATGAAAAGACAAATTTTAAAATGGGCAAAAGGTTTGAATAGATATTTTTTTAAAGAAGATATACCAATGGTCAATAAGCACATTAGGGAAATTCAAATCAGAACCACAGTGACGTTCAACTTTACACCCAGTAAGATGTCTATAATTTAAAAGGTAGACAATAACCAGTTTGGGCATGTATATGGAGAAGTTGGAACCCTTATATATTGCTGGTAGGATGTAAAGGGCGCAGCTGCTTTGGAAAGCTGGCTGGAAGCTCCTTAAAAAGTTTAACATAGTTACCTATGTGACTCAGAAATTCTACTCCTAACTACATATCTAAGAGAATCGAAAACATTCTCTCTCTCTCTCTCTCTGTTCATAGCAGCATTATTCATGATAGCCAAAAGGTGGAAACAACCCGCATGCTCGTCAACTGATGGATGAATAAACAAAATGTAGTATATCCATACAATGGAATATTATTTGGCAATAAAAAGGAATAAACCACTGATACATGCTGACACATGGATGATCTGAGAAAACATTGTGCTAAGTGAAAGACTCCAGACCACAAAAGACCACATACTATATAAGTGCATTTACATGAAGTGTCCAGAAAAGGCAAATTTATAGAGACAGAAAGTAGATTAGTGGTTAGTCTGGAATGGGAGGCTAGTAGGGACACAGAAAGGAATGGGGAGTGGCCACGAATGGGTACAAGGTTTCTTTTAGAGGAGGTGAAAATGTTCTAAAATTAGATTGTGATGATGATTGTACAAGCCTCTGAATACACTAAAAAAATTTTTAATTATACACTTCAATGAATGAATTTTATGGTGTGTGAATTATATCTCAATGAAGCTCTTTAAAAAATATTAATTAGGCCCTTTCCCTCCTCAGTCAAATAGCAAGTTAACTTTGACTTAACTGGTATGCATGCCAGACTTTAATTGGGAGTGTTTTAATTGAGATAACCTGCATTTTATTTCCTTAACATATAGAGATCATGAATAAATACCCTCTAACCTTAGATAAACTATTTGAACCTTGAAATTTTCATCCGTATTTGCAGACAGGTGTCTAGATTTAAAACATGTACACTTAATTTTTTTATTATGTATCTTTCCTTTTAAACTATAACAGTTATTTTTTTTCTCTCCTTAGCCACAACAAGTCGTTCAGAAGAAGCCTGCTCAGGTAAGAAATGGTCATTATGATTTTTTTCCTATCAATTCATACAAAAAGTAATGTGAAAATATGTCCCCAAATTAAACCTTAATTAGTATTTTTCTAGTTTTGATTACATCAACGTTGCGGGATTCTTGACAATTTGTCGTAAAAAAAAAAGTCAGAAGTACATAGCCTGAGATTATCATTAAAAACCCTAAAAGGCCAAGGCCTTTGCTTAAATGCACAAAGCAAATATAAAAATTCTTTAAATAAAATGTTTATTTCAATGCCTTGAATATAAAACATACATTTAATGTTATTATGTGTTTCACCAGTTTTTAAACATAAAATTCTGTCCTTTCCACCTAACTATACTTTATTGACTTGATATGGGACTTATTAGCTGCACAACATTTCACGATTCATGACTGGAAACGTATCTGTGTATTGAATTATTCCACAACATTTGATGATCCCAAAACACTCCCAGAGAAGGCTGGGAAACTAGGAAATTAAGTTACACTGTTTTTGCAGATTGATGAACTCTCAGGTCTTGCTTCAATGGCTGAGTCAGTCTCCGAAGTCTCTGGGCACATCAATATTAGGAACTAGCTTTACTTCTCTTGTCCCACATGACTGGAATTCCTCGTCCTAACTGTAATCTAAATGTGGAAACATAAGAATTATATTTACTAAGGAAGTATATCTTAAAAGAAAAGAAAACTGAAGGGTAAATTAATATGACTGCCAAGTATGTGAGCTGTTATTAAAGTGTGAGAGTGTCCTGCTGCTCTCCCCTTCTGGGTTTAAATAAAAGGTCAGGAGATCTGGACGTATCATACAGAACCTGCTGAAGTAAGTTATTAAGCAGTGTCATGGGTTACCAAGTTCTTTGTGGATCTCCTTCATATAATTTAAAATATCCATGGTCTCTTTTCCCTAGAGGTCTCTAAAAATGTACCTTGCTCCTTGTTCTCTTGGGACAATGCTACCTTGTGTGGGAAAGACCACCCACACAATCTTATATGTTTACTATTTTTTTAAAACGCTGCTTCTAAGAGAATTGAAGCTTCTAACCACGAGTAAGCATACAGGAAAAGTGTATTCAAATAATTACACATGTGCTTTAAGTAGAATGAAAGCAGAATTACCATGAAAAAAATCATTCTTGTGATTGCTCCCATACTTGAAAGCTGAAAGTGGTAGGAGGCACTAAAAATAGATACCCAGTATTCGAGTGTAAGCATTATTAAATAAATGAAGTAGAAGCAAAAACTTGACATTTTAAGTAGGACGTCCCATATATATATTTAGCATCTCACCCTTCATCAGTAAGAAAATCAAAAGAAAGTGAATTTATAATTTTGTGCATTTGGGTCCAAGGATACTGCAGTGTTCACTGTTGCATCATAGGCTGTGAATGGTAGATTAATAACAGCCTTATACGGTCTGTTAACAACATCCGTTCAGTCTCGATTCTTGGTATTGTAGGGAAGATGAGGCAAATGAAAACACAGTCACTGTATCTGAGAAATGTGTAATTTAGTTCAGACGTGCTTATCCTTGGCTGCATATCAGAATCACCTAACAATTACACACAACACACACACACACACAGACACACACACACACAGTAGTTCCCCCTTATCCAAGGGGTATATGCTCTATGACCCCCAGGGGATGCCTGAAACTGCAGATAGTACTGAACCCTATATATAAACTATGTTTTCTCCTATACATGCATAACTATGATAAAGTTTAATTTATAAATTAGGCACAGTAAGAGATTAACAATAACTAATAACGAAATACAACAATTATAACTATATCGTAATAAAAGTTATGTGGTCTCTCTCAATCTCTGACAACCAGTCTGATAACTGAGATGGCTACTAAGTGACTAATGGGCAGGTAGCATCTATAGTATGGGTATTCCAGACAAAAGGATGGTTCACATCTTGGGTGAGACAGAATGGGATGGCACAAGATTTCATCACACTACTCAGAACAACACCCAATTTGAAACTTAGAAATTGTTTATTTCTGAAATTTTCCACTTAATAGTTCAGGACCAAGGTTGACTGCAGGTAACTGAAACCACAGAAAGTAAAACTATGAATAAGTGGGAACTACCCTATATGGGTGTGTGTATGTATTTGTGTTTGTATCACCATTTATATTTATATGGTCATTATGTATCACCACGTATATGCCATATATATTTATATATCACTATACATAATATATATCACTATATATAATAAATACATTCACATATATACCCACCCAGTGGTTTGTGTTGCAGCCAGCCCTTGTGAGCCAGTTCTGAGTATCTCTTCCATATTCCGCATTCAGCGATGTCAAATAGGTAGCTTGAAATCCCCTATGTTGGGAGTATTTATACCATAGAAATTGACAAGTACTACAATTTTTTTCCCTGGAGAGCAAGTCGTTAAACATTTACCTACACAGCAATGGCCCCACCTTTCAGTGATTCTGATTATTTGGTCAGGACACTCAAGCATCAGTATCTTTTATGAACTCCCCAAATGATTCTAACGTGCAGCCAGGGATGAAGATACTCAGTGAACGGTCATGAGAAGAGGTTTAAACATTTGAAGCAAATGATCACAGAATGTCAATGTTTATGAAACACATAGGGGATGCAGATGAATGAGTGGGATGCCATCAGGGGATTATCAAGGGGATGATTCCTGGGAGAGTTTTGATTTTGTTGTTATTATTATTTAGTTGCAAAAGGGAAAATAGAGACATAAATTAGGGGAAAGAAAGGAAGACATTATGAATGGCATGTTCAAAAGCAGAGAGGCAAAAACAAATAAATCATAGTGGATATTATCAACGTGGCTGAAACTGACTGCAAATTGAGCAGTAGTACACAAGAAATGATGTAAGTGAAGTCATAAATTCTTTTCCTAGGGAATCAGGAATATCTAAGAAGCCACAGATGAATTGAGTTTGTCTTCACTGATCAATTGGGCTATCTTACAGACCCTGCTCCAGATTTGCCTTTGAAAGGAGAATTCGGACTCAGAAATAGAAAAAAGAACATGAGCTCATTGGGCTTCCTAATCTATACTGTCTAAGGACACAGTGATGAATTATATAAACACAGGGACTACATAGAAGTTCATGGAGGATAATGTAAATTTTATACTACATTCAAAAGAATCTCTTCCCTTTTCATCTGTTTCTTTCAAAATACCCTCCCAGATGGCTTTTCCATGTGGCAGTCTGGATTAACTCAGGCTCATATTCTTTCTTCATCAACCGTACTTTGAGGGGTTACATTTAGGTCTTGTTTTTAGGTGGTGAAGATTCCAGCACAATTAAGTATTTTGCATCTAAAGAAAAGGGCTCAGCGGTGTGTAAGGAGACCTAGGTTTTGCTTTCTAGCCCTATCACTGAGCGAATTAATCTCTCTGTGCCCTATTTATCCACCTATGAGATGAGATAATAACGACACTTCTTCCCTTACTCCCAAGAACATTTTAAGAGATTCACAATTACATAAATTCCAGGGAGTATTATTTTGTTTTGATATATTTTTGGATGCTAGGTTTTTTATTTCTGGAGGTGTATATTCTGGAAAATTCTAGAATTCTAATTATATTAAACTACTATCCTTTTTACCTCAAGAATTTTTATTGTTTGTTTTTTAAAATAAAATGTTTTTTAATGAAAGAGGAAATTTTTTAGTAATTACTACAATCTTTGGATTAAAGTTGTCAAAATTATTTTCTCTGTATATATTTCACATATATCTATAATTACAGTGGCTCTATTGCAAAGTTTCCTGAATCCATCAAATTCTGAAACCTCAGGCTTTCCAGAATGCCACGTCTTGGAACTGGGATACAAAGTGACAAAATTCACCTGAGGAGACAATTCAGGATTATGATTAATCTCAAAATTTAGATAGTCATTTGTGTTTGTGTATATAAGTACATGTGTCTAGGGAAGAATAAAAATTTAAGGGGAACCCTGCTACAGGGGTTTGTGTTTGGAAAATTCACCCGGTGCCATCAGCTGCAAACCTCAAGTATGTCTCATAATCTTAATGGGAAAGTTATAGTCTCTTATAAATCTAAAAGGAAAAATCTGCAATATTCACATTAACTTTTTTTAAAATTCCAAAACCAGTGAAAACAAAAGTTACTAGAAACTCTACTATATTTTCATTTAAAGTGATAAAGTAAGCACTATATAAAAATTAGCTAATTTCTGAGGGTTTTCTTTTTTTTTTTTTTGACAGTTTGAAGCAGTTTAATTTTCAGCCATATGGATTACATTCTTTACTTTAGTAGGAAATAGTGGCAGATTTTGTTGTCATTGTTATTTTAATAAAAGAAACACCTTAAAATGGTCAGGTTATTATTATTGATAGAGGGAACTTTGTTTCTCAGGGTTTTATCTTGATAAAAATAAATCTCAGTCCATTTCAGACTTCTAACGAGGTTTTGCTGTTTTATCAGATAATCTTATTGTTTCTTGATTTTCCCCTTTTAAAGCTTTAAACTGAGATTATAAGTGAGTTCTTATATATAATTCAGACTTTTTCTTCCTCACTGGAGCCCTACCCAAAGGGTAAAAACAGGTTTTAAAAATCCCAACAGTTCTTCCTTTCAACCCAATTTCCTCATTGTTGTACAGCCCTGGCAAGCTACACTGCCCTTGCAATTAAGACAGGTATAAACCTGCTCCTTTTCTATTTCCCCGTGAGAGAACTGGAATGTTTTCAGTTTCTAAAAGACTAGAAACAAAGCTATCTACTTCAAAATAGAGTTTTTACCTGCAAGTAACATCTCCTGTGGGTGGTGTGTACCAAGACGAAGAAATCTCAGCAAGCCTTGATTATCATGAGATCTGCCCCACCACCTTCCACCTCCCCCGCCCCACCCCCGCTTCAAAAAAAAAAAAA